CCCACCCATCAGATTGATAAAATTTACTAAAAAAGGAAAACAACAAATGTTAGAGAGAAAACAAGTACACTAATATATGTTTGTGAAACTATGAATTAGCAGAGTCATTCTGGAAAGCAATTTGGAACTAAGTCTACAGATTTACTAAATTGTCCATAACATTTGATCCAGTGATACCACTAGTAGGCCTATACCCCAAAGAGCTCAAAAAAAAAAAAAGAAAAAAAAAAAGGAAAAGGACAAAATATTTATATCAATTCTTTCTGAAGCAGCAAAGAACCAGAAACCAAGAGGGTGAACATCTATTGGGCCAAAAGAAACAAGGAAGGGAATGGCTTCAGAGGCATGTGGGAAGATTTGTATGAACTGATGCAGGAAGAAGTGAGCAGAACCAGGAGAACAATTTATATAATAACAACACAGTAAAAATAAACAACTTTGAAAGCATAAGAACTCTAATTCAAAGAACAGCCATGATTCCAGAGGACTGATGATGAAGCATGCTATCTACTTCCTGACAAAGAGGTAATAGACTCAGGATGCAGAATGAGACATATTTTGCCTGAATATGCACGTATTATAAAGGTTTTGCTTTTCAATGGTAAAGGAATATGAGAGGGAGAGAAAATTGATTTTAGTTCTTTGAAAAAAAATTTAATAAAAACAAGACCTGGGGGCTTTTGCTTTTTCTCTTTCTTTGTAGAACAAATATAAAATCCTCTGTTTGGTTGTTGAAACTCTTCATAGCCTGGATTCTTCCTACCTTTCTAGTCTTCTTACATCTTACTTTCCTCCACTGTACTCTGCAGTCAAGTGACACTGGCCTCCTTGCTGTTGTTCACAAAAGACATCCATTTCCCAAACTCCATGCATTTTCACTGGCTATCCCCCATGATCGGAATGCCCTTCCTCTTTTCTCCCTCCTGCAATAGGTATGTCATGGACAAGCACATCCTATAAATCTCAGCACCAATTTGTCTAATGGAGAACTTTCTAGTAAGTTTTTGGATGATTTTCCAGGATCTGTTTGACTGTTTACTGTTTTCCTAGGCAAGGAGTAATTCAGGTTGTCTCTGCCTATTATTTGACGATATGTAGGTAAAAGGGAAACTTTCCCCAAGAAATCCTGAACAAAATGTTCCACGACATTACTTTGTTCTACCTAAATTTCCTTAACCAGCAAATCTTAATTATATGCACCATCAAACAAAGTCAGCTAAGTTGACAGTTAAAATAAGTTCAAATAGGGTAAAATGGTCATGTCAAGAGGGGCTGAGAAATTAGTTTTTAGTACTGAAAGGCTAATTATACAGTAATGATAGACAATAGATCATTTAATATCATGGTCTTTGAATCAAATTGTTCTCTGTAGAGAACTGAGAGGAAAAGAATCTTCCTAATCAACTGCTCTCCAGATGAAGCAGAAACACCGATACCCCTGTTATTCAAGTTTCCCAATAACATTATGCTAATCACTGGATACTGTGAGGATGTACAATTCAGAACCCATCTAAGGGGCTGTTGAGTACGTTATTAGTATGCAGCACTGACACATGTTCCTCCATTAATTTTCTAATCTGATACCTTACTGTGCTATGGAAATGATTGGGTTCTTGAAGGCTGTCAACGACACATAAGATTTAGAAGGTTCAACCAAGGTGTAAAGTCTCTTGGGGTATGAGTATTAGTGATAGACTGTCTGTCTGTCATCCAAAGACCAACATAAGTAAATTCATAAAGGTCACCTTAGAGGACTGTCTATAGCAATTCATGAAAATGGCTACTATGGAATAAAGGTACTACAATTTGCACCAGTGGAAGGAATATCCACATTGACTAAATATAGATGCTAAAAGCATACTCTCTGGTCTAACTAGGTTAGAGAAAGGCTATGCAAAATACTTCTATTGTATGGATCTGAAGCTGATTCTCTCATGTTGATTTAAATCTAAGTGGCTAGCTCTATAAAAAGGTAACTTTTGCTGAGTGACTGAATTGGAAAATAAAAGGGGGGGGGCCCTAAACTCTGAGCAATGGCAATTTATTTGCTAATAGTCAGGTATCTTATAGACAGATGACATTAAAGGAAGACAGAAAAGTAAGAATATTAGGCTCCTGTACATTTGTTTCATCGTGCTCCTATACTCCAGGATTAACTATTTAGTTACTGTAAAAAGTGATTAAGATCTTCAAAGTCTTTGACTTTTGGGGACTCCCTGTGGAAATTTTAAGAATTTAAGAAACATAAAACTTTAAAAAAGATCACAGATTTCATAAATAAACAAAGTAGCCTATACTTAATACAAATAAGCTGATTCTGATCACCCATAAGTTCCAGGGACTGTATTTCATTCTATACAGTATTTTGTGCCAAAGGAAAAATATTAATTTTGGAAACATTATTTCAGACAATACTAGGACTACTTCAATCTTAATGGAAAAATATGTGTGTGTATGAATTCTCATTTGGGTTTCTATGCTTCTAAATTCCATTTTTAATATATCAAAAAGTATTTTCTTTGGCTCTGGGAAATAAATTAATTCAAACAAAAAACTCAAACTACAACTTAGTAAATTCTATGGAAATAAGGATCACTAGACTTTAAATACTCTCTACTTTCATCATTATTAGGAAAATTTTCCCCATTCCCAAAGGGTGGGTTATATTTTGATGTTAATTTATCTATGAAATATTAGAGGAGTTTATATATGATTCTTTTCCCCAAAAGACTACTTTAAATCCTGGAGGTGGTGTCCTTTTGTCAAAAAGAAGAGTTCATTTATTTGCACTAAAGATTTAGTTAGAAAATATGGCAAAAATGTTTACAAAAATAAACTGCTGAATGAGTCATTTTATGAACGTGTAGCTCCATCAACTGATGACAAAATCAAATATTTCCAACTCCAAAGTAACAATGCAAATTAAAATTATGAGATGAGATTCTTTTATGATTTCAATCACAGCACCACCTGAATTTATCTGAATTTACAATGGAGACAAAGTATTTCCAAGCACAACATTGACCACACAAAGCATAGCCATGCAGAAAGCTACATGCTCAATATCATTAACACTACTGGTAGGTTATAGGTAATTTTCTTCCTCTCATTTACAGAATCACACAGAATTAAAGCCAGAAGAGTCCTCAGTCATCAAGTCCAAATTACATTTGAATAAGAATGCTCCCTACATCATACCAAACAAGTGGCCATTCACTTGTTCATTTTGGATAGCTTTGACTGTTAAGGTTAGAGTGTTTCCTTTTATCAAGCCTAAATTGTCCTTTTAGCAACTTGCACTCAACTAACTACTCTTAGTTCTGCCCTTGGGGCAAAGCAGAACATGTCTAATTCCTTTTCCATGACAGCCCTTTAGATATGTGGAAAACAGCTATTCTGTTGCTCCTAAATCTTCTCTTTTCCCTGTTAAGTTTCCTTAGATTCTTTAATCAGCCTTTATACAGTACGAATCATCAATAAGTTTTTTCTTTCAGTTTAAATTTGCTTTTTGTGTGGAATTTTTAGTGTTCAACTATATGACTGGCTGGCTATCTTGCTACTTTCCCTGATTTCTTTAAGCATTCAAGGGAATCAGAGCTTACCTGGATAATAATGACTTATTTCAGTCAGGATTCAGCGCCATGAAAGACTGGTAACATTTGCAGTAAATGGAGCATAGGTACCTTACAAGTTAATTTCTTAAACTTAAGAGTTATTATAGTTGGATAAAATCTCTATGTAAAAGTTAACTTATTACTTTAAAACTTCAAAAACCAAGAAGTTAGAAATAAATCAAAGCTTTAATGTTTCATCTTTCTATCAACTTTCTTTATGTAAATGAAACTCAAATAAGTAGTTTTAAGACATGTAAATCGTAGACAGGAATGCAAAACTGTATATTGTCATGGAAGCAGCAATGGAGTAAAATAAATTTTAGAATATCTGTTTAGATTTCAGTGCATCAGTATAAATGAACTGTGTTTAATAAACATCCCCTGTTCAAACATTTAAGTAATTTCTTTTACTTTTGACCAACAGGGTCATTCCTTTCAATTAACTGCTCAGACTAATTGCAGAGAGAAGCTCCTTTTGATTCTGACAAATCAAAAATTCCCAAGGAAGGGAATAATACAAAGTGGAAAAAATTCCTGCCAATAATCTCCTTAAGATCAGGAGTTGGGAGAGGGACAGGCAACTAAATACAGTGAAAGTAAAATGTGTTGCTTTCATTAAATGCCCTGTTTTAGAGTCATCTAACAAACGGTAAAATACAAAAAAACAAAAACAAAAATCAATGTAAGATTGTACAGTACTACGTGTAAATTAGATGCAAAAGTCACAAACTATTCTTCTAACAAATAATTATCCTGATAATTGAATACAGAATCAGAACTATCTTCCTGGCATGTAAGATTCTCCTTCAGTAATATATCCAGCAAAACATCGTATTTCGGAGTTCTATACTGTTTTTGCTTTCCAAATGAAGCAAAATGGCAATTATGAAATCCCTTTTCCCCTATGAACTTCTTTTTTCAGCTGCTACCTACAGAAAGAGGCAGGATGTTAAGCTGGTGGTGAGGGCAAAAGAAATACAGAGAAGAAGAGGACCTAAGAACTGGGAGTGGGAGAATTAAAAGTCATTGCCTCTTTCTGTCAGGTACTAGGAAGGCAGAGATCCTTCTAATTTAGCAAACTCTCATCCAATTTAAGATGAGAGGAATTCTATCAATTCCAGCAGTTATGCTCTCCCCTCCTAGAAAATGTTGGCTTTTTCAATTATATTCTGACATCTAAGCAATTTTTCAAGTCCAACTCTCTGATAACGTTTCTGCTGGCCAGCTTGATCACTTCATGCAAGGCATCTTTCCCTTGTAAATAGTTATTTGTATGGTCTCTAAAAATTGGAGCAATAAGTATTTATTTTTGTTTAATTATTTTAATATGGTGGGTCATTATTCTAGCTTCTTAGTTATCAGACCAACTCAGGTGGTCTGTGATACCTGATATGACGATCTCAGGGACATCCAGAATGTTGCCAAATGAAGCAGTTTTACGATGGCCCCGTTTAGGCTTGGAACAGGCTGCAAAAACACACATATACAATACACATGCAAACCACTACAAATAGTAACATACAGAATGATTAACTATAAAAACAGAATGCTTTCACAATAGCTATGTTAACACCATGCAAAACTACATGCAGAAATATCTAACTTTTCATCCATGCTTACAAAAGAAAAGCAGAGATTAAAAGCGAACCACAACTACCAATACAACACTTCAGACACATTAGTTTGAATTAAGCCAAGATAAAAACAAAACAGACAAAGACAGACAAAGATGGTCAAAGCTGCTTGGCAATGAGGAGGGATATTCTAAAAGTGTCTATGGGAGGGGGGAATCCCTCCCTATTTAGCATTATATGAGATACTAGAATGCTAAGGGAACAGTAAGAGAGGGGGAGGATCAAAGTACATAAGTTATCAATAGTACCCTAATTACACAATATGAAAATATATATGTGTGTAAATATGTACTTATATGTGTATATATGTACGTCTATGTGTATATATACATACATACACACACAAACATATACACATGTATATCTCAAAATCAGATGCTATTCTTCCTTGAACATGCCCATCAGTCCTGCAGAGTAAAACTAAGTATAACTGAAAACCATAAAGACAAATTATTTCTAACCTTTCATAAAAACCTTATAACCACACAAACTTGTTCTTAGGTAAAAGCGGATCTTGTATTAAAACATAAATAACTAGATTTGTAATAGTTTCAAAAGCAAATACTAAACTGCAATTCACCTCAAAGACAAAGCACTCTTGCCACATCTTAAGTACGTGTGAGCCTGTTAGCCCTTGATCAACAGGGCCAGCTTTGAATATTGACTGAATATTGACTCAACCTCATAGCATGGTTCCAGAACAAAAACCTCCTGGCATGTCCTCCATGGAGTCCAGGATACTTTTTTCTGGTCAGTATTTTTGGGGCAATATTTACTTTTCTTGAGAATGTTAATATGTATATGTATATGTATATGTATATGTATTTCCCTTTCTTTTTTGGTAATCTGGTCAATTTCTATCATGACAAAAGGAAAACTATCTTTTTAAGTAGAACAAATGAAAGTAACTGAAAACTTGGCTAGGAAAATGGTAGAAACAGATTTCATTAACTCCATTATGCTAAATAAGCATGTACCTTTAATTTCCTATCTGCTATCTTTCATGATGACATATTTCAAGAATGTGAAAAGACAAAACCGTATCACTATAACTAAAACTATTTTCTTTAAGAATCCAATAAAAAGTTACTGAGTACTTCTCCAAATGAAAAATAACCACAGTTAACTCAATTATCCATGCTCATATGGGGAACAGCAGGCAGGGAGGACTATCTAATCTTGGGCTACAGAACACAGTTTTCTGTCAAACTTAAAACAAAATATTTTGTCATTCAGCAGGAAATAACCTACATAAATTACATCACTTACAATCTATTGGCAGAGATGTGACAATCTTTGTTTGGCAAGAATTTTGGTTTCTTTCAATAGTTTTTTCAGTTTAAATATCAGCTGAGTTATGCTTGATAAAGGCTTTCTTCGATATGAACAATGCTTTAAAGTAAATTACAGTATTTCCATTTTCTCCTCTAACCTCGAAGGAACATATTTTCTTCAAATTAATCTTTAATAATTTTTTAACATTTTGTAACAAATACATCCTTAAATGAACTGCTAGAAATTTAGAAAGTATATTGTCACATTTTGTTTTAAGACAAAAAGGAAAAAAACTACAACACCAAACAACCACCACCAGACACCCACTATTGAGAAAAGACAAACCATTACCACAACAAAAATATAACAGATAATTAAGTATATTTGAAAACTTATTCAGATGATAAAATACTTGTTATTGCTCTCCACCTCAGATACCTCCATTTCCTTTTTTACCTGTGGTAGCAGCTATTCTTGCTTCTATTTCAGACATGTCAGCACTCATCCTCTTGCCCTCTGATGATGGTGGCAAACTTTCCACACTGCTCCCTCGAGACGCTCCCAAGCTTAAACGCCCAGAATCACTCTGTTAAAATTTTAGAACTGTTTGAATAACTGATGCTTTGAAAACTTATGACAAAGTCTCCTTCAGGGGGCAAAATGGAAGGAGGAGGGCGCTAACTGGAGCCATGGTTTCTAGAAAACCAGGGAAGACTGGAAAATTTTAAGATTCTGGCAATATTCGTGAGGGCAGCCCTTTTACTTCTGGGAGATAACTGTCCTCCATTTGTTAAATGACCTTTGCTAAAACGCCTTATGGCATAAGAATATAATTAATTGTTGAAATAATTTCAAATGGATAACTGTAGTAATAAAACAAAACAAATATTAATATTGCTAAAAGCAGGTTTGCTGTTGTTTTCTATACATGGGCAGGCTAGTGCATAAAACATGGCTTAAGATACATACTTGTTGGGTTAATAATAGGAAATTTTGTTGGCTGACAAGAAAGATGCTGTACAAGATGGAAAAGACAATGTTCATTTAAAGGGAGAAAAATAGGACGGTGAAGAGAAGATTTGAGGAAAAATTAATTATACAACTAGGCCTATCCAGGCTCATCTACCTGCTTGAGTAACAAGAGGACAGAGAACTGTATAGTGGAAAATAATGGATACTGTACAGAAGATTAATTAATTACCAAATTAATCAGTTCTGTTTACGTAGAAAAACTACTGACAACATGGAAGTATAATTTTTCACTCAACAAACCTGTTGTTTGGCTTGATTTTTCAACAATTTTGATTCTAAGCGCTTAATGGTGTCATTTGTTGCTGGAATCTGTTCCATATTAGTGTCACTCTTGTTACTGGTATTTGTAGAAGTGATGTCCATGAATGAACCTATGAAGGCAAAAATGTTTTTAACAGCTTAATTTAAATAATATTTAATATTATGAGGAAAGCTGTATTAAAGTAATATATTGATGTGGTAATGGTGTAATTTTTAAAAAATATAACAATGATAATAACAACACATCTACATACTGCTATCACTTCCAGTATCAAATATAAAATATTTTGGCATTCAAAAGCCTTCACAACCTGTCCACTCTCCCCCGCCCAATTTTTCTAGTATGCTTACACTATAACCTGTTTCTAATGTCTCCCCACGTACTTTGCAATCCAGTGTGACTGGCCTTCTTGCTGTTCCTTGAACAAGAAATTCCATCTCTCAACTCTGGGCAATTTCACTGGCTGTCTCCCCCATGCCTAGAACGCTTTACCTCCCCATATCTGGCTTGCTGAATTCCCTGCCTTCCTTCAAATCCTGGCTAAAATCCCATCTTCTGTAGGAAACTTTCTCTGAGCTCCCTTAATTCTAGTGCCTTCCCTCTGTTGAGGCTTTGCCTCTTGTTGTCTTCCTCCATTAGACTGTAAACTCCTTGATGGTAGGGCTTGTCTTTTTCTTATTTGTACCCCCAGTACTTAGCACAGTGCCTGGCATATAGCAGGTACTTAATAAATGTTTATTTTATTTTATTAGGAAGGTTATTCTCATGTGAATAAATACAAGAACAAGCTGGGGGTTGGGAGGGTGGAGAGTGTAGACAATTGTAGGAGGCCTTTGGTTACTATAGACCATCTAGAAAGAAATGGCCTTTTCTTTCTTTATTTTAACATTATAAACTCAAATATTAAAATTTAAATACAAAATAAGAAAAGAAAAAAAAAGCATTGCCATGTGTACAGCTGAATGTGAGAGGATTCAAAACATACAAATATACATTTACATTTCAAGAAAGTCTATGTAATAAATACTATGCATTGTGTTCAGAGCTGTCCATCTTTTCTTTGCTTCCATGTAAGTTTTCTTTTGTTCTTTGCTGTGCAATTTTTACTTTGTTCTTTTCTTCTCCTCTCTTCCCTTTCCTCCCCCAGGAAGGCTACAATTAAGGGCAGATATATACATGTATGTATGCATGCATATGCATGTATATATGCATACACACATACATATATGCATACATATATACATACGTACATACATACATACAAAGATATATACATACATATACACATACATTTCTTTTCCTTTCTTTTCCTGCCGTCCTTCCTTATCTTTGTTTCTCACTCTTTCTTTTTCTTTTTCCTTTTTCCTCCTGTCTCTTTTTCATTTCTTTCTTCTTTCTTTCCTTCCTGATTTTTTTTTAACTCTGTTATAGGAAATAGTTTTCCGGGAGGGGGGGAAGACAAAAACATATATTTCCATATTTAGATGGAATTTAAAAAAAGTGGAATCCACTAGTCTATTCACACTATTTATTTTAGTTTTAAACATTCATGAAATGGCCTTTTCTTGTTTTTAGTCCTCATCTTTCTTGACCTCTCTGCCACATCTGAGACTGTTGAACACGCTTTTCCTCTCCTGGCTCCTGTCTACTGACTGCCTTGCTGCTCCTTCTCAGTTTCCTCTGCCTGAATCATTATCGAAGTCCTATTTTCTATATGCACACATAGGGTCTTGGGCTCTCTTCTATCTCTACACCTCCCTCAGTCATTTCATCAGCTTTAATTGGTGTGATTTTCATTCAAATCACTCTCAAATCTACATATGCAACCCTTACCTCTCCCTGAGAAGCTCCAGTCCTGTAGCACTGACTCTCTGCTGGACGTTTCTACCTGGATGTGCCATAGGTATTTTAAATTAGCAAGTCCCAAACAGAACTCAGTTTCTTTATCCATAAGCCTAGTCCTTCTTTTTATTCTCCTATTTCTGCTGTGGGATATCTTTTCACAACCTTGGTTGGTTCACAGTCCTTGACCCTATGCTCTCCCTTGCCCAATGCGTGACAAACCTTGCTGATCCTACCTCCACAACATCTCATAGGGCTGTTTCCTTTTCTTCATATGGTTACCTACCTACCAGGATTTCATCAGCTCCTGCCTGTACGATTGCAATGGCTGCCTACATGGCTTCTCTGCTTTTAGTCTCCAACCTTTCTCCTCTATATTTTATAAAGATGCCAAAAAATGACACTTTTTTTTTTTTTTTGCTAGGGGTTACGTGACTTGCTGAGGGGTTCACTCAGCTAGTAAGTGTCAAGTATCTGGTCTGAGACCGGATTTGAACTCAGGTCCTCCTGACTCTAGGGCCAGTGCTCTATCCACTGTGCAACCTAGCTGCCCCCCAAAACGACATTCTTAAAGCTCAGGTCTGACCTACTTCACATGCTTCAGTATCTCCCTACTGCCTCCAGACAGAATACAAATCCCTCAGTTCAGCATTTACAACTCTTCACTCTCCAGTTCCAACCTATGCTTTCAGACCAATTTCAGATTATTCCCCTTCACCTACTCTATATTCCTTCCAAATTGGCCTACTTTCTGCTCTTCACACATGAAATTTCATCTCTTCCTTCTATACTTTTATTCGGGCTGTGCCCACTAGACCTAGAATGCTTTCATTTCTCAGGTTTACTGGCATCTGTAGGTCTCTTCAAGGTTCAATTCATGGGCCAGCTTCTATAGAGCTGAGTCCAGAATGAAGAGAAGGATTTCAAGAGACAGGCGCATGGAGGCAGAATGTTCCAGGCTTGGCAGACAATATATACAAAGGCAGGTGGATGGGAGGGGTGGGACAAGAGCCAGTCAGATTGTGGAAGACCTAAAATATAAGTCTACGAAGACTGGTTTACCCTAAAGGCAATAACGAATGAAGATGTTTGAGTAGTGGAAGCTTTCATACATTTTAAAGTGGTTTGAGTAGGGAAACACTGGTATATTAAAATTATGTTGGCAGTTGGACTAGACAAAAATGACATTAGAAATTGGGGAAACTCTTCAGGACCCTATTTTATAGTTCAGGCAAATGGGTATGAAAGAGGGTAGTGAAAGGAGAGGAAAAAGAACCTAAAGTCATGTGACTGTAAGAAGTTATAACTCCCTACTTGGGCTTGGGGATCCTGAACATATGGTATCCATAAGTCTGAGCTAGGAGAAACAGATTCCCAGGGATCCCACTAGATAAAAGTTTTAGCCTCGAGAAAATGTCTTCCTAGTTATTACTTCGGAAAGATCTTTTAATATACATGGGCTCTGTACCTTCTTATTTTCCTCATATCCTAGAGCTGCTGTGTAAGGCTCATAATTGAAAAAAATGAAATAAAAAGCCAACATTCCCAGCAAAGAAAGGTTTCTTAAGTTGTAGTTTGAATTTATATTTACAATTTCAAATTTTAGAAAGCAAAGCTCCAATATAAATTAAATTGGAAAAAAATTAAATCTGAATTTTAAATTAAAATGCTTTAAAACTAAACTTTGTGAAGCACAATTTTTGTTAGGTTTATGATACTTTTTTTGATGATCACAAAATAGAGCTACCATCATCATTTATTTTAACACAAGATATTGGAACCTTAATGAGAAAAACTTGACTAAACTTCAGCTTTTCAACTAAGCATTCATAGAAGTGAGTCAGTTCAGCTTTTTCCCCTTATATGCACAAAAAAAAAAAGTCAACACCAGTATGACATTCAACCCACTTACAAATAATCATGTGAGAATTCAGACTTATTAGCAGTTCTTTACGGTCTATAATACCTTTTTAGTCTGGATACTGTGACACAGACTGACGCACCTGGAAACTAAAACTGCATTCGATCATATAAAATGAAGAAAAATAACTGCAAATCTGGACATCATTCTTTTGCTTGTTGATGATAATTTCGTAGGTTTAGAGAAAAATCAAGTAATTACTATTTTAACTTCTCCACATACCTGTGCTTGTGGCAGAGTTACTTTGTCCTTCATCTGAATACTGACAAGGATATTGTAATGGCTCATCTGCTCCTGGAAAGTACTGTATAAAAATGTAAATTATAATTTAATATGACTAGGGAGACAAGTCAAATGCTGCTACAATTCATTCACTTAACAACCAATTATTAAATGTCCACTAGGCAGAAAGCACCTTGATTATTTCACTATAGCAAACTCAATACCAGATTCTACCAAAACATAAAACTGGGTCAGACCTGGGGTTTAGACATTTATCGTTTTTTTATGTATCTAGTCTATATCTTAACATGGATGATACCATAGTAAATACAGCTACTTAATATTCAGTAATTTGAAGGAATTGAAACATATTCTAATATGAAAGATAAATATTTCTTTTGACCCACTGATGGGTCATAACAACTCATAACCACAGCATAAAGAATATATTTATTATAAATTTTTCTTAGATTAAAATGTTCTTTTTTCTTGAACTAAGTTGTCCATTTTAGCAGGTTTTACTGGTACTCTGGAAATATTAAGAAAATCATAGCAAGGACTTCTGCATGTTGAATCTACTATAGAGTAACTACTGAAGGACATCTACAATAACCACAGTACAGAGAAAGTAGAGCCTTCATCAGTGGAGCCAGTACCCATATCAATGAGATCCCAGAGCCAGCTATGGAGCTAACAAAAATTTTAAAAGGAAATTTTTTAAAAAGGCCAATTAAAATGTATTTGCATTAATGATAGCCAAATGTTGAAATAATTGCTACTGCTAGGGAATTAATGTCTAATATTGAGAATTTTGTAATCTCAAAAACAAAAAAATAAACAATCTTTTACACACCCATCAGACTTAGAATGATCATTTTCACCAGAATAACTTCTAGTTATGTATATATATACATATATATACACACATATATTTATACACATATATGTATATAAACATACACACATACATATTTATACACATATATGTATATAAACATACACACATACATATTTATACACATATATGTATATAAACATTCTATACTATTAGCCTAGAGCATATAGACTAAAAAGAAAAATATGTAGGAAAAAATTTTTGTCAAACTAGGATACTCATTTGACACAAATCCATGCAAACCCATGAGCATTAAGCTTCTTGAGGATAAGGATCACACCTTTAGATTCTGTACATGCAGAATTGATGCTCAGATTAGTTGGTTAACTACAGACGAATCAGTTGCATCAAACAATTAGTTTAATTATCTTCACAAGAATGTCTACTTATTTTGGCTGAAATAATCCAAATGATGTTTGTTTCAAAACTATTGAGACATAACTACAGTCAATCTTAAGTCCTTGGAGCTAAACTTCGTCTAAGTCCATTTTCAAATGGTTTATCAGATTTTCACAATACAGAAATCACTCCTAAGAATTCAAGTACTTTAACATAAACATGACCTTTTTTAAATGAAGGCCATGGCAAATTAATATGCAAAGCACCAAAACGGTTAAGAAAGAATTGTTGACTATAAAAAAGACCAATAAAAACGCACATTCAGATGGTGGTTTCAGAGTTGTAAAATACTTTCCTCAACAACCTCTGACATAGACAGTACATGCTTTATTTTCCTCATTTTACGAATCAGGAAATGGAAGCTTTAAGGGATTAGGTGACTCTGTCACGGTTACAGAATTGTTAAGTATATACAAGGCAGAATTCAAACCAAGGTCTCCTGATTCCAAGTCTATCATTTGAGCCACTGAATTATGATAGGGATGTCTTTTAAAACTAGGAATTTTTATGACAGGGGAGTGAGTTTGATGCTCCTTTCAACTCTAAAGTCTATAATGATGTTGTTATAAGTCTGACTGAAGAATTTTTAAGTGAATAATCTCGCTATCATTTAGAAAATGTCCCATAGCTTCAAGTAAAATAGTACTCAAAAATCCCACCCAAAACCAGAGAGGAACTGTCTAGTAAATGTATTTCCAAAATGAAAGTACTTAAATACAAAGAAATCTTCGTCAAGAATATAAATTTCCATTTCTTATATGAAGGGGACTAATTGCTCAAAATAAAATAAAACTCTAAGAATAATTTAAATTTAATTGTCAAGGACATATTCGAATCTTAGAAAATTAGAATCAGAAGAGTCCCAGAGCCTTTTCAATACAACTCTTTCATATCAAGATGAGGAAACTGAAGCCCAGAAAATGACTTGCTCAACATCATATATCTCATTAATGACAAAGCCAGAAACAGACCTTGGGCCTCCTGATTCTTAATCAAGTAAGCAATAATCTACAACTCCCTTAAATTTAAAAAATTAACTGTAATCTCATGTAACTGAAACTTCCCCAAACTTCAAAACCCAAACCCACTCAAAAGAAGAGTTATACCCGCATCAAGTGAGTCATTATTTTCACAATTTCCTCCATGGAAGGTCGTTGTGAAGGATCCTTTGACCAACACCTAGTCATTAAGCTTTCAATAGGCTTGGGCAAATTTTTGATCAGTGGGGGTCGAGTACCTATAATTAAAGTTAGAGACAAAATATAAATATTTAGTTTATTTACACTAAGGATGGTGTCAACTCTTTGTAGGTACAAGCAATTCCCAACTTACTATGAATGTCTTCCAAAAATTTGTAAATTGGTTCCAATTCTGAATGTTTAAAAGTAACATTTTAAATGGTGGTTTGGTTCATGGTTACGTTAAAAACAGGACATTTGTGCCTGATGTATGTATAATTTTGTATTTCAAACACTCTGGACTCTAACCATTATGTGTGACCATTTTATAGGAAAATACATTTGAAATTCCCATTTAGGATGCTGGGTACCATTATCCCCTCCACTGTTAGGCAGAGTGGCTAGCAGGAAGGGGTAGGCTATAAGGCGGTGGGGAGTGAGAGTGGAGGCACAGTGGCCCAAGGGGTGGAGGTAAGACATAGATAGGGACAAGGGGTTCTGTTATTCAGTTTCAACTGGCTCCCTCATTACCCTCTTTTCTTCTAACAGTGACAGGGCCTGATCAAGTTTTCTCATTCTCCTGTCACTGTCTATCATTTCCAATGAGGGTTTCTTTCCTTTCTTTGCCACCAGAGAATGAAATGCAGCCACATAAGCACACAAAATTTGGGCAATTATCTAGGGTTTTTACTGCTAAAAACAAAGGGAGCAGTAGATAGAAAAGAAGATACTGTCCTCCTATGTCACATTTACTTTTTCTTTTCTCCCCAACTTGTACTAGCTTAGAAAAAAAAAAATCACAAATAGGTGTTACCGATGAGTCATTGTCTCTAAAAAGACTGAAGATTCACCTACATCTATTTCACAGGCAAATCAGGATTAGGTTATTCTCAAATTTCATGTCAGAAATGCAATGAGTCTTACTGATGGAGGCTGAAGGAAGAGGCTCTGGAGTCAAAGCACCTTCCTCTGATATTTGCTACTACTCATGTAACCTTAGGCAAGTCACTTACTCTCTCTGGGCCTCAGTTTTCTCATCTGTAAAATGAGATGAGGCCCCTTCCAGGTCTAGATAAATGATCCTAACAGGTGAGATGGGGAAGTGGAGGGAAGAACATTGGCAGCGATGAGGAGGGAGGAGTCAGAGAAGAAGGGTAATAGGATTTGACCCTGCTACAGCCAATTCTACTGCCAAGGACTCTGCCCTGGGAAAAGATGAGAAACAAGGACAGAACTGTAGGTTGGGGAGGTCAAAAAACAATTCACGTTGCTTGCTATAAGGAGAAATCCCAATTAAGTGACTGTGAGGAAATAAAAATAATTCCTGAGGCTATCAGCCAGCATCTGTGGTACATGTAATTTAGTAGACAGGTAGGCTGGGGTCTTTCATTTATTTCTAAAATAATGACTTCTTTTGAATGGACCTTATTTTACCAAACTTATTGAAAACCTATCAACAGACAAGAATAGTCTCCAACTTCTTGCTGCTCAAAATGATTTTATATTAGAAAATTTTGTTCCCAAAGGATTTATTGTTTTAAAAATAATTTTGATAGCTCTTGCTTTCACACTGCCTAAATTTCTCCCTGTATTCCCCCTCCCAACCCACTCTGTGAGCTATCACACATAACAAAAAAATATTTTTAAAAGGGAAAAACAAAAAAAGAGAAAAAACAACCAACAACTCTGATCAATACATTGAAAAAAATTCAGAAAATCTTTGCATGCAATGGACCCCCCACCTCTAAAAAGTAGCAGAGGGGAAGCTATCTCTTCCTGGGGCCATGTTTGTTCTTTGTAATTCTGAAAAAATTTTCAATTGTTTTCTGATTGTTTTTTCTATTTACATTGTACTCTCTGTGTATACTGTTTTCTTAGCTCTGCTTATTTTATGCTGTATCAGTTTCATTTAAGTCTTTCCACGCTCCTCTGAATTTGTTACATTTATTGTTTCTTAAAATATGGCAATCTTCTATTAAATTCATATACCACAATTTGTTTATCCATTCCTCAACTGAAGGGTGTCTACTTTTGTTTCCAGTTTTTGGACATAACAAAAACTGCTGTTATAAATATTTTCCTATATGTAGAGATTTGAAAAAAATATTAATGCCTCCTTGGAATATATGTCTAGTAGTGTTACCTCTGGGTCAAATAGTATGGACATTTTAGTCATTTTATTTGCATAATTCTAAATTGCTTTCTAAAATGGTTGCAATAATTCACAGTTACACCAATTAGTGTGTTTATCTTCTCACAACCATTCCAACATTGACTATTCCTATCTTTTGTCCACTTTGTCACATTCCTAGATGTGTGAAGTGAAACCCAGAGTTGTTCTGATTCACATTTCTCTTATTATTAGTTATTTGGAGGAATCTTTCATATAACTGTTAATAGTTGGCATTTTAAAAAAAATTTCTCAATTCTTTTGAGAAATGTTTGTTCAGATCTCTCAAGGAATAACTATTTTCCACACAGAATTAAGAACACATTAATACACACACAGACACACTTTTCCCCTTCCACTCACCATTATGAACAGCCCACATTATGCGGAAAGCTGGACCACCAATCTCATCAAAAGGTTTTCGACGGGTTATCACTTCCCAAAGGATAATACCCCAACTGAAGACATCACATTTTTCACTGTAATTGCTACCTGGAAAAAAAAAAGTAATTAGCATAATCTGATGTCTTTTCTCCACAACATTTAAATAAAATGACTTCTTTGTATCTACAGACTTTACAACTTAATATGTAGAGATTGAGAAACCATTCTTTGTTAAGGTTCCTTAATTTTTTCAGGATGCTAAGGTGATTCTTCTATTAAAGTGTACTAATTATTATTAAAGTATTTTGCAGTGAAATTAAATGGGAAAATGCTGTTTTAGGTCTATCACTGAACTGAAATTAATCTAGTTACAGTTCTTATTTCCTAATGAATTAATGCTTATAGTAAAAAAAAAAAAAACAAAACTCTCCACTGAAATTTATTTCATTTAAAATAGTACTCTGTCTGCACAACAGAAAACACAATGTAAAATTTATGAAATGTCTGAAATACACAAAGCTGGTCATTATCACCAGGAATCTGTAGCAAATGGAAATGTAATAGAAAATTAAAGGTATAAGCATGTCCTTGAACTCAGTCCAACACTGCAATTTGTATGTAGCCTTCTCAAATATACTGTTGTCCAACTACTCTGAATTCTTTTTAAAACATACTCACTTAAATTTTTAGCAGTAATATCAATTTCCTAAATGTACACTTAAATGTGTGGTGAAGATTTAAAGGATGCAAATTTTGCTTTAGGGACTAACTTAGAACCTAAGATTGTATTTACATTTGAGATTTATACCTATCTTACTGTTACGAAAACATAAATGACTTCTGAACTTAAAAAAAAAATCATTTTTTGATCTAATAGAAGAATTAGGTCATCACAAACTAGCATCATTTTACCTTCAAAAACTTCAGGTGCCATCCAAGCAGCACTTCCCTTGTTGTTGGTCATGTGTGTCTGAATGTCACAGGCAGTACCAAAATCACAGATTTTTAGAACTGTACCCCCGGCAACCAGCAGTAAGCTGTTAAAACAACAATTGTTCTAAGACCAACAATGTAATTCTAAATGGAAAACAAATGTTATTGGTAGAATTAATAAAACCTTACTATTCAACTTCAGCAGTTATAATTAATAATTTTATTTCTATATGATATTGGAACTTGACTAAAAGATAGTACAAGAGGAACAAAAATCAACTTATTTGCATCTTATTTCTATCAGTAGAATTCCCACACCCACACTTCCTCTAAGTCATTCTCTTATTACCTCTATCACAATATGGTTACTGACTATACTTATCTGGCAAAAAAAAAAAATTATATTAAGTGTTTTTAAGACTTCTAGCAAATAAAGGAGGTAATAAGCCAGGAGTGGGGAACCTGCAGCCTCAAGGCCACATGGGGCCCTCTAGATTCTCCAGTATGGCCCTGTGACTGAATCCAAACTTCACAGAACAAATCTCCTTAATAAAAGGATCCATTCTGTAAAACTTGGACTCAGTCAGAAGAAGGTCACACCCAAGGACCCAGAAGGCCACATGTGGCCTTGAGGCCACAGGTTCCCTACCCCTGTAATAAGCTAAAGGGAAAGTGGAGGGAAGAAGGTCAATTGCATCATTCTCTACGCTCTTCTATGCAAACCATTCTCTAAAACTCTTCTTCAGAGGTCTCATGAACAGAGAAGACTGAGTCTAGTCAAAAATTAGAAAAACCATGCAATTTATCTTAGTTATTCTTGCAGATTAGGACACTAATGAAAACTCAAAGCATTTTAAAACAACAAAAACATTCAAATACAAAGTGTTTCTTTTTGCTTGCAATTACAGAGTAGAAGTAAACTATATAGTACAAAACCACAAATCACCTTTAAATCATTATTAGCCAAGGAGTTTGCAAGTCACTGATGATACTCTACATCTGTGACAAAATACTTTATTCAAATAAAGTTAAATTTTTTGTACTATTTTTCTTATCACTACTTAAGTTTTCTAAGTTTTAACTGCATATCAGTGTGAATTAACACAACTATAACTGAGGAGGCAAAAACTTGGTGTCTATAAAATCAAAATGTAGCTTTTTCTTATGGAAAGTCAAATCCACAGATTAAATCTGAATGCTTTCTGCCATGCTGAAAGCCAGTGATATTTTCTATCTAGTTCTTGTATATTAAAGGAAAGAGGCATTTATTTAATTTACTTAGAGTTAGTAAAAGGACTCTCCTTTTGATAAATTATTAAATAAATGTCAAAGTTTAGATGCTACAACTAAACATTTCCATTTAACAAAAGAAGATAAAAAGAAAAGAAAAAAGCCTCTAAACCAACTATTGCCAACTGAGTAACTCTCTGACCTTTAGACTCTGGGTTTCACAACTGTTACACTGCCAGAACTATGACTATTCAAACAACATTTCCTCATCTAGAAACAATTCTCTGATTCTGCCAATTAAGAGAAAAATGAATTAGTAGTAAAATTCCATCTTTGCATAGCAGTTTAGACTTTAATGAGAACCTATCAGAACACTTCCTTTATTTATCAATTTTAATTAATCTCTCAAGCAAAATAATATACCTTAATTTTGATTAGGCAGATTAATTAGAATTTACAGTTAAATTTAACCAAGACAGCTCGATAAACAAGTAGCCACTCATATCAAATGTTGGATCAGCATGCTTATACCTATGTTGCCAACTCTGGGTATCAGTTCACTAGATGTAGATGTGGAACTGCCAAAAGATCTGTGTCTGGGCTATTAATTCAGCTAATGGATTGTCAGAAACTTTCAGACTTAGTTTCCTTCCACAGAATTTTTTTTTCCATCAATACTCTTTAAATACATAGGATATATATTCAAAGTAGTCTTTAATGGAAATATTATCTTACATTCATCTGGGCACTATTCAAATAACTAATTTTTGACTTCTAGTTGTTAGAAATATTCATATTGGTACATATAATCCAATATTCATTTATGGTATACTTGGCTTATACGTACCTATACTTAGATATACTCTATATATATATAGGCACATACATGTATACATATTTATATGTAAAATGAGTTGGCACACACATATATAGCCCTAGATTCTAAGAAAAATGGCATATCTAAAGTCATATACACATAAAGTGGAGTACAGCTAAATTAAAAAATTTTAATGATATATGATTTCATCCACTTGGTTATTTATTCCCTAGTACAAATATGAACTAAAATGTGTAAGAGTTGTTATGCCTAGCACAAATGAGTTACAAACAGTCAAACAAAGACACTGAAAGCTCAAAAATGAAGACAATATCATAAGAAAACAATTATGGATCATAGATGTACGTATGATAAACACAAAATATGCCCCCCAAAATTCAGAAGTAAAGCTGAGACACTTTGAAACATGATTTTATAAGATTAACAAAATAAGACCTTTGTTATGAGCACAGAGACAAGAATTCATGAATTGAAAATCATTACATTGGGATATATTTAGACATGTCTATGAAAAGTTGCATAAAAGTCAACACATTCCAGAAGATGTGATAAATGTATGAGTAGACATATATTAACAAGTTTGAAGAGCCGCTCATAAGACAGAGATAGAGAATTGAAGAGCTGGAACATGGAACAGTGTGAAGAGATAATCTAGTCCAGAGGTCTCAAACCTGGGGCTGGGACACAGTTAGGCCCCCAACACTCCTGAATGTCATTGTTGTCAGATGAAAATGCAATTGGGAAATGTTTAACAAAAAAATAAAAATACAATAAAACATTGATAATATTAATGTGTGGTTTTCTAAGTCAATATGCAGTCCATAGGGATCCATTTTTACATTAATTTGACACCAATGATTTAGTCCATCGCCTCATTTTATAAATGAGAACAGTATATAGACTTCATTTGCATTATGTGTGCATTCTATAGTTGGCTTATATATCTGTGTACATGAATGTATATTTGGCTTATTACGCCTCTATGCAGTAAAATGACTTGCCTAAGGTCACACAACTAGTAAGTAGCAAACTGGCTCTGCTGCCAGTGACAAATCTGCCTCTCTTCAGTTTCTCCCCATGGAACCCCTAGATTTCTGCAAGGTTCAGCTCAACTGCCACTTTCCTATATTAATCCTATCCTGATTCTGGGGTTTTTAGTGTCCATTCCCCATCTCAAATTACTTTATTTTATGTAATTTTTCCTTGTTCATGTTGTTTCTCCCCAAAAAGAGGGCATGGACTGTTTTGTTTTGTATCCCTAGTGACTAGTATGGCATAGGTCTTTAAATGAAAAAGACTGCAAAAAGCCCATAAAATGAACAAAATGAAGATACAGAAACAAACATACAGAACTCAACCTAGAACTGAGAGAAGAAATTCAAGAAGGTACAACACATGCCTTGGATCTAGGAAATTTAAAAATAAAAGCTCGAAGATGCTCACTCCTCTAAAAGTCCATCTATGTTTGATATTCTAATTGGAAGAGTGGTTGGAGAATTCATGTCACAGGTCAAGGTGGTGAGACAGGTGGCTGAACTGAAGTCACCTAGGGCAAACAGACAGAAAGGCCTTGTTCTTCCACAGACTTTTGTGAACGAGAAGAAAGAGAATTCAACCTAGGCATGAGAGTAGAAGCATGCAGCCTAGGAAGAAGAGTGATCTTCCTACCCAGGTCACTATTTAAGAAGACCCTACATAGAAGAAGAACCTTTAGACTAGTCAGGAGAGTGACAACTAGGAGAATTTAGAAAGAATAGTTTAATACTTTAAATATGTGACTAAAAAATCTGACCAAAGCAGGCACACACTTGTGACTTATCTCCAAATTCCCTTATTTATGGAAAAATGCCCTTGCATACTTGATCTGACTATATGGGACTACGGTAGTAAGGCTTTTAGTCGATGAATTCAAAGACGAAAAATAAGCTCAGCAAAGTCCACCCCCCCATTGACTGCCATCAAAAAACAAATATCCCCCCAAGATATTAATACTTCTGCAAAAAATCATTAAAATTCTGAAGTCTTTTAACCAATTTCCAAGGTGTAAATTAAAATACAATATAATTCTAACCTAGGTTTACTAGGAATTGAATTCATTACTGTATATAGAGTAAATCAGTAGAAACTAAGTATTGTGTCCTCTAGATATAAAATTAGATCCAGTGAGGCTAAAGGGTTGACTATTTTTATAGGCCAATGGACTAAAATAATAATAATCTTGATCATAGTGATAACGATTATGATGTATAACACTAAAATTTAAAACTCTTAAGTTGCAGAGCAGGTTCTGATCTGCACCGGTATCAAACAATAAAAATTTATTAAGCACCCACTTTGTGCTAAGTACTAGGTTAAACAATGGAGATTTTTGTTATTATTCAGTTGTTTCAATCACATTTGACTCTTCGTGACCCCATTCGGGGTTTTCTTGGCAAGGATTCTGGAGTGGTTTGCCATTTCCTCCTCCAATTCATTTTACAGATGAGGAAACTGAGGCAAACAGGGTTAAATGACTTGCTTAGGTTCACACAGCTAGTGTCTGTAGCTGGATTTGAATGCAGGTCTTCCTGACTCCAGGCCCAGTGCTCTATACACTGCGCCAACCAGCTAGCCAGCACTGTGAATACAAATACAAGAATCAAAATCTTTGCTTTTAAGAAGCTTACATTCCACTGAGGGAGATAATATGAGTATGAATCTGAAGTGATTTGGGGAGGGAGTGCATTAGCGGCTGGGGGGGAGAGGGGAAGCTGGGGACAGTAGATTATCAGGAAAGGCTTCAAGAAGGTGGAGCTTGGGCTGGTATTGAAGGAAGCCACGGATTCTAAAATTTAGAGGTGAGGACAGAGAACATTCTGGGCATGGAGGCAGCCAGTACAAAGGCATAGAAACAAGAACTGGGGTGTAGTAAAGACAGTGATATACATATGGTTAGAGGGTACATGGTAAGCAATGTATAAGAATACGAGAAACACTGGAAGGGGCCAGGCGATGAAGAGCTGTACATGTCAAAATATGCATATGTATCCTTGAGGTAATAAGGAATCATGGGAGTTTATTGAGTAGAGTGGTGACATGAAACTATACTTTAGGGACGGGGAATTCTTCTATCAATGAAACTACAGGCCCAGAACAAATTGGGGGGGGGGGGGGGAGAAGAGGAGGAAGAAAGTTTATAAAATACTTTTCTCCCAAAAACTTTGTTAGATAGGTGATACAAACATTATTATTCACTTTATAGATTAGGAAATTGAGCTCCAGTGACTTGCTCACAATCACACAATAGTTTTAGAGTGGGCCCTTAACACAACCCTTTTGGCTACAAGTGCTCTTTCCACTATATTATAATGCTTTATCAAATAAAAAGATCATTATAAATGACTTTTTAAAATAAAAGCTTAAATTATAATCAATTTTTTTACAAAAGATCATGAAATGGGAACCTACTTGGGTGGTTTCAAGTCCCTGTGAATTAGAGCTTTCGGTTGCATACTGTGAAGATATGCCACTCCCTGGGAACACTGTAAACACCAGCTCATTGCATGGGCAGCAGTGTAGTATGGCAAGGGCTCGGCACCATGCAGCACTGGAAAAAAAAAAAGTTACACACTAAAAAGAATTTTATGATATATTACTATACACACAGAGTTAATCACTGCCACCACCACCACCACCACTACCACCAGGGCATCTCAATGTCAGCTTACTCTTTCACAAATCCCCTCATGAATCCTCTTTTAATTTTTCTTTTCATTAAAAAGGACTGATTTAAAATGCCTAATTTTAAGCAGATAATTTATATATAAATTACCAATCATATAATAAAGCTCATATTAAATGATTCATTTAAATGTAATTAAGACATTACCATATTCCCTTTCTATATATGTTATATATAAGTATACGTATAAATACACACCAATACCTCACAGAGAAAGATTAAAAAAATGAGATTAATTTGATTGTACCTCAAATTCTAGCACAAATAAGAAGCAAGAACTAATAGAGCAAAAGTTTTTATGGCTGAAATATTCTGTGAAATAGCTGGGTTTCCATAATTTTCTTTTCTAAAGAAAAGAATAAAAATTAATACTACAGTTACTGGTAAGACAGGTAGAGATGTAAAATGAAAAGGCCCAAATTTAAGAGGGCACAAAAGGGATTAAAAAAAAAAAAAAGACTGAAGCGTGAAGTAGAATATACTGAAACAGTTAAAAACTATCAATTTTACTTTATTTAGTGCTTTCCAAATTATAAAATTTGCTTTCTAAATTATGAAAGGAATCCTAAAGGGAAAAAAAGATTTTATAAATTTGCAGATAAGAATTATTTCACTATCACTTTTTCTTTCTTATGTAACACTTAAGAGTTTACTTGTATTTTTTAATGACAAATTCTAATTGTTTTTATGAATTTTTAGAAATTACCACCTTTAATATCCTGATAACATTATTGAATGGCATTCAGAGTACTTTACATATAAAAAACTTAAGAGTTATAAATAAAAGTTTTTTCATTTTGTATAAGAACTTATTTCTTAAAGAAAGACTGTATTTCCTGCTGTAATGATACTCACCATTGTATAAAGAGCCTCCTTCAGCATATTCCATTACAAGGCATACCTAAATGAGGAAAATAAGCACATAAGGATAGAAGCACAAAAAGAAGGACTCTCAAAGTTGGAAACTTAACAAACATATTTATTTTAACCCACCTCACAAATGAAGAAACTAGGATATAGAATGGATTAACTTGCCTAAAGTCACTGTTAGTTTGTGGCAGAATTAAGAGTTTAAAAACAGGTTTCCTGAGGTTACCAAAAACATCAGAACACAAAAGGTAAAGCCAGATCAGAATCATCTGAACTGTGTTGGGTCCACATAGAGAACTTTAAGAATGGCTAACCTCTGAAAAGAACATAAATTCCATTACTAAGGCATCATTTTGTTGTTTGTCTTTGCATCTCCAGTACATAGCAGAGGGCTTAATAAATGTTTACTGATTGAATTACTCTAAACTTACTTTAAAATGGTGAAGAAAAATACAAACTAATCTGTTATTTTTTCAATGGGAAATTCAACTCAATGCAAAAAAAATCATTTTTTAAGTGCTAGATTTCAGGAACTGTTCTAGATGCTGAGGATTCAAAAGCAAAAACAAAACATTTCCTGCCCTGAAGAAACTAATATCCTATTAGGCAGGATGGGAGGCAAGTAGAATTAATAAGCCTAGAGAAACAGAAAGCTAAAACAGTACGCCCTAATTTAAGGAAAAAATCAAATAAAATCTAATGATGAAAAAGTCTTAAGGCAGTAGAAAAACATGTCCTAATTTTATAGGAGAGAAATGACACGTGTTGTTGGCTAAGATTAGAACAAGAAACATATGCATTTACCACATTCAAGGATGATGAAAGGACAAATGTGCAATCTGCATGACAGAATGAAATTGCTTTAAGTAAACTATTAATTTATTTTAAAGTTCAAAAATAATAACCATATTTCAACTAGAGTTTATATATATATACATTCATATACAGAGTTATTTGCTAACTTACCAACTTAGGATCTGCATTCTTTCCAAATATTAGTTGGAAATGATTTTATTTTAAGCATAAACTATTTATCAAATATTACAATATTTTTAAAAAAACCATTTCAAAAGAAATGTAGTAACCATAAGGACCAAAGTTGGTCTAAGGGAACAGATAATAAAATGTCTCCCTCCTTTTGGCAGATGTCAGGGACTAAAGAGGCATAACGTTGCATATATAGAAATGATCGGGGCAGCTAGGTGGCGAAGTGGATAGAGCACCAGCCCTGTAGTCAGGAAGACCTGAGTTCAAATCTGACCTCAGACCGAACACCTGACACTTACTAGCTGTGTGACCCTGGGCAAGTCACTTAACCCCAATTGCCTAACCAAAAAAAAAAAAAAAAAAAAAAATCAAAGCATCAGTTGGTTGTTTTTCATTGTTGTAAAGGACTGTCTGATGCTGGGGTATGGGGAGAAATAGAAGAAAAGAATCATCAGAAATGACAGTGATGCCAAAAAAAAAATCAAAACACCTATATTTTAAAAAATGCAGAGCGAGAAAATTTTCCACAAGCACATGTATTAGGAAGACAGAGATTAAAATACCTTTATAAATTTCAAACCCCAACACAACTTGTACATCACTGTTTGCAGATAATATATCCACTGAAAAGTTATAAACTTACTGGATTTAAACAGGCTCCGTATAACTTCACAATATTTGGATGGTTTACACGGGATAATTGTCGAAGCTGGAACAAATTAAGTAACCCTTTAAAAAAGTATTAATCTTTAATGCGGTTATTTAAAAATTATGGCTTAAATGAAAGTACAAACTATAATAACCTATCAAAATACAGACACTTTCAAAAGTATAAGTCAATTTTATTAAGAATGTTAAAAAAAAAAGAAAGTGATAACAAATAGGTTTTATAGCTACTATACAACTATTTCTTTCAGCATAGTAACAACATATGAAACTCTGCCTATATACCAGTTTAGAAAGCAAAAACAAATTTCATATATGTAATATCTTTTCACAGTTACTGAATTCTAGGGATTCCATCATGATTGAATAAAGTTAGAGTTGAGTATTATTTTCTCTCTGAACTAGGAAATTAATAATTTTTACTTTCCAAAGAATCTGCCTTGAATTAGAAGAAAAAAATTACAAATGATTTTATATTAACATTCCCCAGCTCAATTCAGGTAATGGGAAAAAAAGTAATTTCTATCTGCTTAAGTAACAAGGTAATGCTATTAATCTTGAGTTAGCTAAGTAGTTCAGTCAATATGGTTAATCTGTTATATTCAAGAAGACAAGTGAGGAAAAGCATTTATAATATCATTTCCAATATTTTAACCAGGCAGGGCTCTGATGTTCAGAAGTCTAAAGGAATTCCTTGTAAAAATATAAAATAAAATAGCCATTTTGTTGACACAACTACTTGAAGTACCACCCATATGATAAAGAACTATAATAGCAAAAGATGTTTTCTCCAGACACAACAAACTGGGTTACCTACCTCTACAATAAAAGCTTTTCTCTCAGATTCACTTTCTATTTGTTTAATGGCCACATCTTTTGCTCTCCACTTAGCTTTGCATACCACTCCAAAAGCTCCTCTTCCAACAACCTAGGATTCAAAAATGTACAAAGCAAGATTCAAAACAATTATCTATGCCAATCTGGAAGTCAGAGGTTGAAACGTGTTTTAGAGATAATTTGCATTGGAACATATAGCATAGGAACCAACTTAAAAAAAAAGATGAATAGGCAAAGAATGAAATGAAAATGTAATGTAGTCCCTGTCCCTGTCTTCAAGAAGCTTACAGTTAGAACAAACATGCTGTGAGGTCACTTACAGAATAAGAATGAGAAAATGGTGGGAGGAACTAGCTTGGACAAGATTGAGAAATCATTTATAAAGGGGAAGAAAAAATGAAAGAGAAAATTGTGTTGGTAAATACAATAAATATTAAGAAAAATATTAGATGTTTAAAAATACGAAATTTTTAAAAATTAAGTTCTTTGAATAAAATATCCAAATTATTAGAATGGAAAGGATGTGAGTGGTTATGTAGCTCAATCTTCCACCTGATGAAAAAAATCTCTTCCATAATATCTCTCACAGTTGATCAGTCTACGTTTGGACATTTCTAGTAAAAGGGACTTTGCCTACTTTTGGAGTAGGGCATTTCACTGGGGACAGTATTCTTAAGTGCTACAAAATTTTGCCATATAATGAATTGAAATCTGCTTCCCTGTAATTACTATACACAGACACTAGGCCTTGCCTTCTGGAACAAGAAAACAACTTTACTGCTCCTTCCATATGACAGCTCTTCAAACATTTGAAAATAGTTATAATGTCTTCTACAATAAGTTCCAACTGGGACTTCCTGCTGACAGTAACCCAATTTTGAAAGCAAAGAGGTATCGTTTTAAAAGGTATCTCAAAAAGAGGAAGATATCAAAAGAATGTTTATTGTTTGCTGATGACAAAAAAGCACTTGATTAGGTATTTTTAAAAAAAGCACATTATAAAAGCTCTGTTTCAACAAGGAGTCTTCCATGAACATGTTAAGATCATAGACAATAAATGTAACTCCAGAGATAATTCTTGCTCAAAGACCCTCTGATTATTAACATCAATGGAGGCACGTAAAAAAGGTTTGTACAGGTTCACTAAAGGTATCAGCCAGTGTCACGGAAGATACTTGCAAAAGATCTAATGGAAGAGAAACTCCTTATAGATGGCCAGTTCTTATTTGTAGATTTAGTGCTGGCTAAATCATACCCTAAAACATTACTGGGCCTCCTCAATGAGTCTCATGATTACTCAAGGCTTTGGCTTAACAATCCACAGAGGAAAAACTAACTGGATGAAATATGCATCTTGTTCAGACTATATAACATAAGTCAACTGAGTTAGTATATAAGTACATATACTTGGGGGAGACACACAATGGGTTGGTCCAAGGACTGAAAAGGAGAAAGAAAGTATACTGGATTTCATTTGGGAAACTGGACAGTGCTTTTAACAACTCTAACCGGCTTCCTGGTACAAAGACCCACAAATGTTCTTCCAACAATGTGTAAAAGTTTCAAATCTTGGAACACGATAGCCTCTGAAGAGTCAAAGTTGAAGCTGACCCAAACACCACTGGAAAAAGCATAATAGGCACAAATAGACTATATCATATTTCTAATGATGAAAAAGCATAAAGGAAAACATCAAGAAAGTTTTATGATCAGAAAAGGAGGTGGGACAGTCATATGGTGAGAGAAGGATAATAGATAGACAGCCAAAATATTCCATTGGTAACCACAAACCATAAAAAGACCTAGGAAAAGGCCTTCTAACGTGCTAAGTGGACTGATCCTCTGAGAATGATCTTTCTGCAAGACAATGAAAAAGAATCAAAATGACAAAAATCTCTCCTTTATAATAAAGTTGGCTTACTAAAACAAACAAACAAACAAAAATCACCTTATAAACAATACAAAATTGTATTGGCATGATTTGATGGTAGTGTTCCTGATCACTTTTCAATGTGTACAGTCATTTCTATATATACATATACTTTGCAATGAACAGTAACTCCATAAGTGTTTGCTAAACTGATAACAGGCAGAACTGAGTCTGTGAAAATATGAGAGTTCATTAGTCTTTTGGTATTCTTGTGTCCTATCTGTGTTTTCTCTCCTTTTCCATTCCCCAAGTTACACAGGCAGCCTTCTGCTCTCTAATCCTGGTTTCCTCATAAAACTGGTAAATGAACTAGTGTTGGATTTTTATGTTTGTTGAAAGACTGCACTATAGTTCGGTTAATGTGAACTATCCAAGGTAAATCAGAGAATGAAAGACTTTGTTTCAGTTAAGGAAGACATGACTTTTGAGGAGAGGGTGTATTAAGGAAAACCACTGAAATCACTATGGGTGGCTCTGAAATTAACCCAATTCAGTCCCATAAATGGTCATGGGCATCCAAAAAAAAAAAGGGAAAAGAATCTATTTGTACAAAAATATTTATAATAGCTCTTTCTGTGGTGGCTAAGAATTGGAAATTGAAGGGATGTCCATCAATTAGGGAATGACTAAATAAGCTGTAGTATATGATTGCAGTGGAATTGTGCTATAAGAAATGACAAGCAAGATGATTTCAGAAAGACCTGGAAAGCCTTATATGAACTGATGCATAGTGAAGTGAACAGAACCAGGAGAATGTTGTACACAGCAACAGTAATACTGTTCAATAAAGAACTGTGACTTAGCTATTCTAAGAAATACAACGATCCAAGACAATCCCAAAAGACTAATGAGGAAGCATACTATCTGCCTCAAGAGAAAGAATTGATATTGGTTGAATACAGACCAAAGCATGTTATTTAAGAAAAAAAAAGGGAAAAAAAAAGTCATGGGTACATGTGGAATAAAGTCAGAAGGGTCTCCTTTAGGTTTTCCATTTCTCCTGGGAGGGGTAAGCTGAGCTGGACTAGGTTGCCATGGCTACCAGAGACTTATTTCTAAAATTGCTCAGGGGAGAGGATAAGAGACTGCATGCCCCACCATCACTGGCTTCCTTCAGATCTCTGAACCTTCCTGGCAGGTCTTCTCTCTTCAAATCATCCCCCAAATCTCTCTTTTTTTTTTTACTTCCAGACCACGGATTAGGGTATCTCCTTTCCCTTTCCCAAAAGACTCCTACATGCATATTATGCTTTCTGGAACTTCTGGTATCATTTAAAAAAAAGAATTTATTGATATATATCTTACAGTAATGCATCTTTTCTGGTAGTATACTTCTTAATTTCTGGTTGTTTTGGGTCCAAACCTGTGATGTGGGAACTCCCTTCCAGGAGACAGACTGGTAAGTCATCCATGATTTATAATCTTAGAGTTGTTCAAGACACAAAGAAGTTAAGTAACATGTCTTAATGCTTGAAGATTTGATCCCAGGGCTTCTTGACTCCAAAGACAGCCTTGATTTACCTGACATTTATTATCAGTTCATGTAAAACATCAACCACTTGACATTTATTGCTACCACTAAGTGCAAGTTGGCCTATACAGGGACAAAGAAACAAAGTGTATTTTTTACTTATCAGTGTGTACTTTATCAATCTGTTCATTTAACATGGGCTAGAAACACCTATACTTCGTTTCTGATTGCCTTAATCTGATCACTCAGAGATATTCACCACTGTCTAGTAAATACTACACAGCAGAAAAGTATTCTTAGTTATCAATCCTCCTTATTAATGCTCATGTGCCATCTAGTGGACAAACAAATGAAAGTTTCTGATGCAAAACTAATGAGAAACCATTAATACAATTTTCATCCTATTTCATTAAAATCAGGGATTACCTGTATTAGGCACAGTCTTTTCTTTTAAGAAGCTTAAATTCTAGTCTAATTTGGGAGAAAAGATATAAATGCACAAAAAATTAACTAACAGTATAAGACAATAAATGACAAAAGGGGTTGGTTTTGGCACAGTAGTGAGGGCCCTCACTAAGCTTTGAAATTTAGCTATATGAATTTGGACTAGTCATTAAAATTCTCTGAGCTTCAGTGTTTACTTGAAAAATCTGGATAATGATACCTCATAGGACACTTCTGAGAAAGCAAAAGCACTAATTCAAATGTTAGTAATTAATTTTAATATAATTAATTTTATTAATTTTTATATAATTATATATAATAATATAACATATAATTAATTTTAATATCATTAACAATAATTAACAATAAATGCTATTTGTTAAAGGGAAAATGAGATCAAAGTAGGTTGGGTTAGGCTTCCTAGAAAGGACAGAATTTTGAGAACAATCTAAAGGATAGTCTGGGAAGAGGAAGGACTGCATAAAAACCTTGTTCAGAAGAGAACAAGTAGACAGACAAGTTTGGCTGGAGTAGAGGGTTTCAATATGGGAGTATGGGGAGAAAAGGCTGGAGAAGTAGGGAGAAGCTACAAAATAGGATACTGAATGCCAGACTAAGGAGTTTGTGCTTTTTCCTCTAGGCAACAATACCTTGCCTTTATATAAAACCTATTGTGTGCCAGGCACTGGGCTAAATGCTTTACAATATTATTTCATTTGATCCTCACAACAACCCTAGGAGGGAGATCCTATCCTTATTACCATTTAAAAGACTAAGAAAATGAGGCAAACAGAAATTAAATGACTTGCCCAAGGTCACACAGCTAGTAAGTTTATGAGGCCACATTTGAACTTGGGTCTTCCTGACTTCAAGTCCAGCATTATATCCGTTGTGCTACTTCACAGCCTCATGGGGTGTCACTGAAGGTTTTGAACAAAGGAATGACATAATAATAATGGAGTTTTAGAAAGTTTAATATAGTAGGTTGTAAGGATGGATTGAAAGAGGGAGCATAAGAGGCTATTACTATAGTCTAAGCATGAGGTGATAAGACTTTGAATAAATGTTATCACAAAATCTGAATTGGAAGGGGTCCAGACCATATCTGAAGAGGATTTCTCTATAACAAGGGTTCTTAACCTTTTCTGTGTCATGTACTTCTCTGCAGTGAAACCTAGTGAATTCTTCTCAGAATGATCTTTTTTTAAATACATGATTGAAGGAAATGCTAAATTTCAGTAAAAGG